AAACGTTAGGCATTCCATGCTATTCAAACAAAGTCAAAACAAAGCTTCCAAATAAGCACTTCTGAAAGGTACCTAGTCATCTGAGTAATTAGACATTTTCCTAGTTCCAAACATACTGAAAACCTACAGTCAGCTCCCAATGAACATGCCAGCAGTTATCCTAACAAACAAGAGATCTCTTCTAAATGTTAGTCTACCAATAGATCTCCCTTCTGAGCGCATTTGCAGCAAACCCTCATGAAGAACAGCCATCTATGGACTTCATGCAGGTCACAACTTCCCCCATGTAGGGGTGGAAACATGCAGACTGCTGTAGTGGCTCCCCAGCAGTCCTCACTGTGTCCCTCCTGGTCACACACCTGTGCTGTTACCTTTACATGTTTGCAAACCCCTCTGCAACTCATCAACCTGCAGGAAGCATACAGTGAGACAGATCAGTGGAAGAAGATGGGAGATGGCACAGGGAGAGGAGCACACGTAGCCCAGAGCATGAGCAAACTGTCAGAATCCACTCAGCTGCTGTGAATCTGCATCCTCACCCCAATCAGTTTCCATTGCCCCTGGGGATGTCCGCATCAGGGCTGGTGTGAAAGTCCACGTGCTGCAAGGCCACGCTGAGCAGTAACATCCACACACTAGCAGCCTCCTGTTTGAGTCCAAGGGATGCATGTGGATGCCCTTCATGTTTCCTCACCCAGCAGGCAAGCTACAGGGGCAAGCCAACATGTGAAATGCTCAGGCAGTGTCCAGTAAACAACCTCAGATCTCCAGCACCATGTTTTCCCAGGTCTGTTTCTCAGGCTTCCTTTGTATATCCAAGGGACACCAGGTCACACCTGCTCCATGAGCAGTTTGGTCTCAATACACTCCACTTTACTTGAAAAAGTTTCTGCTAAGATTTGAACTGTATGTGACAATTAAGGCAGTAGCCTAAATCAAAACTTACTCTGAATGGGAGCACTGACCCCAGCCTTCTCCTGCTCCAGCAAACCCCGTTCCTACAAAACCTTCCCCCCCCAAGACCACTCTTCCTCTACACAGCCTCCCCAAGGCGCTGTCTCCTCATAAGGCTCCTTCAAGATGGGACACTATTGCATCCTGCCATTCACACCCACCGTTAGATCCAGAGATTGGAAAGAAAAAAACCCTAAAACCTAACAAAATCCACAGAATAATTATTTTATTTTCAGCGTGAGGGAACCGAGGGAAAAAATGTTCATTCTCTCGCAGCCATGCAGTGAGAAGATCACGCTCAACTTCTACAGGTGGCAGGAAGAACTTTACGTAATGTAACCTTCCTCAAAGGAAACTATTTCAATACACAAAAGAAAGAAACAGCAGGAAAAGGTAGGCATCTCTCCCTTCTGGTATGTAGTGGTTACGCCCAGATAGTGAGACAGTTTGAGTCACATTTCTGCGATGACTAAAAGAAAGTACTTGCATTTCAGAAGCAGTATGGTCAAAACCCCCGGGAGCTACGTGTGCTGAAGAAAGAAATCAGGAAACCATTTCTGCAAATGGCAGAAGAGAAAGGGAGACTTCCACAAGTGCAGAACACCATCTAACCTCGTTTTTCACTCAAAACGCACAATTGCAGAACAATACTATGACTCTTCACTATTATTCTTCCCAAAGTTTAGACACAGCCTTTTCACACAAGGAAACTCCATGGATGCACCAAGGCAACCTCCCAGATTTTACAGACACCCCCCGAAGCAGAATGGGCTTTCAGTAAATCACCCACCAAAGAAGAGCGTGTTGAAGAGCAGGGCTTTAGAGATCTCCCTCCCGCAGTCCAGTTCTCAGCCATCATCTGGGAAGCACACACCACATCTGCATGAGGCCCTCCACCTCAACACCCACCACACAATTTAGGGCAATGCAGGCACAGCCCGCTCCAGGCACTGCTTTCACCCAGCCCCTCCTGCTCCAGCTTACTGTAGGAGAAAGGGTTTAGAAATAGGGTACGATTTATTGTACCAAAAAGAAGAGGGAAGGAAGCAATGCTCCCTCCCCAAACACATGCCCCTCTTCCATGAATCCTCTGACTTTCTGCCAAGTTCAAGCCTCTTCTCAACTAGGAAGTCCCATCCCGTCACCAGAAACCCAGAGGGGAACTCGTAACTGGTGGAAATCTCAGAAGAGACCAAGGCAGTTCCACAGTACTTGACCACACACCAAGGCCCACTCTTCTCCACAACCTCCTTTCATATCCCAACAGATGTCTGCTTGAAAAACAAGCCTGTTTTGAATATTGTTTCCCCCCCCAAGAACAGTTTTCATCCCAGTCTCTCTCACTTCAACACAAAGACTCTTAAATGCCATTGTGCCACAGGAAAAATCATTACAATAAGTTATACTGCTGCCTCTTGAGATACAGAGGCAGCAGTATAACTTAAAGGTATTCAAACTCCTGCCTTCTCTGGCAGAGAGGTTTGTTGCAAAGCCTGTAATGAAATGCAAGGCATGGACCAGATGTAGCATCACAAGACGCGATGTTAAATGATGAGAAACAACAGAATTGAGCGTCCAGGCTCCGCGCTCCCGCTGCTGCTACAGAATTCAGTGTTTGCCCAGCACATGCAGCACAGCACACACCTCACCGTGCAATCAGACCCACAGCCCTGCAGGAGCTGCAGCCTCAGCTGCTCCTGACTTCGCTTCAGATTAACAAAAACCACTTGGCGCTCACAGCTACAGCTGCAGACCTGCCATACGTTGCAGCCCATACACAGCCCTTGCAAGCTTTCCCAGCCCACGTGGGGCAGTCCACATCCAGCTGGGCCCTGGAAAGAACCTGCTCGTTCGGCCAGCAGCAGTGGATGTGACAGATGAATGTCCACTTACTCCCCCGGGCTCTAGGAGAAAAGGGCACCCAGGAACAGCAGGCAAAGGCGATGGCAACAACAGGGCTGAAACCAGAGGGACCCACCACTACACACAAACTCCCTCATATAGAAGCTATGTTCCTAGAAGGTCCCAATTGCCCCACTTCTCTCATTAATGCCTCAGGCTTTGGGGCATCCAATCTGAGCACTTTCACCAGCCTTTGCTTCACGGCTTGTTTCAGTGACTCCAAAATTTCCCCCTCAAGCCCTAGTTCTGCCCCACCAGCCCAGATACCAACATGTTCTTTGCAGGACCCAGATTTCTCCAGGCACCTCTACCAGCTGCCTGCAATCTGCAATTCAAGCACCCAGAACCCACCCTAAATGCCAAGTCCTGTGCAAACACACCCCCACCCCTTACCACATCAAGGCAGGACCAGTGTCCTTACACTGCATTTTCTGGTCATCTACAGATTTGCAAACAAGCAAGCTATGTTGTGAGCTTGTTTTCAGATCTGCAAGTATCAGCATAAATGATAATGCAGAACTAAAAGTCCTTGACAGCAACGGACATTTGTTTTTTCATTTCAATTTAACAGCCGCTGCTATGAGTGGATGAGATGGAAACCCAACCGCCTTCCTGCAGTAGTAGGGTACAATGGAGAGAACAGTTTTCAAAATGGCATTACAAGACAGCCTCCATGTCCTCTGCACAACACCAGGGTCAATGTGAATCACACTGGAATCTAGTGCAAAAATCAAAAGTGCACCAACTGCTCCTCTCATAGAGGCAACTCCTTCCACAGCAAAGGGACTCCTTGAAGAGGGGCGCATTTCCCTTGATGCTGCTCCCCTTCTAAGACCTCCCGCTGCAGAGAAGGAAGGCTGAACAAGACACAAGTGGTAAAAGTTGCTGCCCAACAGATACTCCAAGGTGCTGTCCGCACAGATAAGCTGTTAGAAACCAAGATCATCTGCAATTGCAGGACTTGGGTTTTCTTCTAGCCCATGCTATCTTCCCGCCCACGGTGTCAAAGCAGTATGACTGTAGGTAATGTTTAAGCTGAGGCAGTTACCAGTCCCATGAGCAAGCTGCTAGCTCTGCAGCACAGGGGCATGGCCATTTAGTCCAATCTGCTATCGGGATGGCACAGAAGACAGAGGGATTTGGGGGGTTTGTAAAGCTTGCAAAGCTTTACATTCCTGCGAGGTCAGCCCGATGACTCTGTTCTCTTTTTGCTCACTTGCTGCGTCCCCATTAAAAAAAAAAAAAAAAAAAAAATTTCCTAGAACTTTTTTTTTTTTTTTTTTTTTTTTTTTTTTTGCACCTTCTGCGTCCCCATAAAAAAAAAAAAAAAAAAAAAAAAAGATAAAGAGGAGGGCATCAAATATTCATCTTCAGCGTGCGTAAATCCCCAAAGGCGTTCTGTTAAAGCCAGACTTGAAAAGCGCAAATTTTATAAAAACTAAAAGGGATCCCTCCCATGCGGACTAAAAAAAGCGCAGAGAGGGATGCATCCACGTGTTTATACACACACACACACACCAGAGACGCAGAAAGATTCGAGACTGGGAGCAGGCGAAAAACCAACAGAAGAAAAACTGATGCCCACCCCAAAGCAACCGACATGGGGCATTTCCCAGGCAAAACCCCCTGTTAAGGGGACACCCCAGACGGGATGGTGGGGCACGGGGAGCACAACCCGGTGTGAGAAGGAGCCAGACACCACAAACCCTGCTACCAACACAACTCCCACACCATATTTTTTTTTTTTTCTGGGAGGGGGAGCAGCAGGGGGGGCATTCAAATTCATGGAAGGGGGACCACAGGGTGACCCCCTCACAGACCTGATGTGGAGGGCGGCAGCCACCCTCCTCCCCCCTTTTAGAGTCAGAGGCTCCTTGTACTCCCCCCCGTCCTCCATCTATCCCTAAAAACCACTGAAGCCTGTCGCTGTGGAAATGGTGAGGGATGGGGACACCCCAAAATGGAGGGAGGGGACCTCAAAATTGAGGGAAGGACCGCAAAACTGAGAAGACAGAGGCGTTGAGGGAGCAGCACCCGGGGCCCCGTGGTTGGGCGCGGACCCTCCGACCCGCAGGCCCTCCGACTCCGCGGGGTCCCGGGGAGGGGCTGCCCGTTTAGAGGGGAAGGGTCCGTCCGCCGTTTACCTGGGGACGCAGCTGGGGCTGGAACCGTCGATCTCCCAGGTAGCGAAGAGGTTCATAGGCACGGGCCGCCCCAGGGCCCCGGTACCACCCGGGAAACTGAGGCGGCTCCGTTCCGCCGCCGCCGCCATGGCTGCCGGCCTGGCGCGCGCCCACCGGGCCGCCGCCGCCGCCGCCGCCTGCGCCGCCACCCCGCCCCAGCGGGGAGGGGGGGGTGACGTCTGAGGGGGCGTGGTCTCGAGGGGGCGTGGCCTCTAGGGGGGCGTGAGCATTGGATAAGGGCGGGTATGGGGCGTGGCTAACGCAGGAAGGCGTGGCTTCAGGGAGAGGGCGTGGCTTCGGAGAGAGGGCGTGGCTTCAGGGAGAGGGCGAGGCTTCAGGAAGGGGGCGTGGCCAGCGGTCAGGTTGTGGTTGCGCCCCGGTTTCTGCCGCGTTTCCGTGTTGCCGCCCGGGCCGCGTTTCCCGGCGCGCGGCCGGAAGTGCCCCGTGCGTCTGGTGGCCGTTGGACCGGATGTTGCCGTGGCAGTTTCCGGCCAGCTCCGTGGCAGGGGCAGGGGCAAGGCGGCGGCGGGGCTGAGGCTGAGGCTGAGGGGCGGCGGCGGCGGGCGGGCCGCAGCGGGGCGCAAAGATGGTGCTGCTGACGATGATCGCCCGCGTGGCGGACGGGCTCCCGCTGGCCGCCTCCATGCAGGAGGACGAGCAGGTGGGCGCGGAGGGAGGGGGGAAAGGGTTTGGGCTCGCTGTGTCGGTGAGGAGTGGGCGGCCCAGCCGGGCCCTGACACCCCTCCGACGTCTCACAGGGTCGCGGGTGGGAGGTGGAGAGCGGCCTCTGTGCTGCTGAGGGCAGCTCCTCCTCGGGCCGATCCGCGGGCCCCCACCGAGACCCTCTGCCTGCAGGCGGGTGGGTGGTGTTTCCCCGGTAACAGCTGCCCCCAACGGCCTTGTCCTCCCTTCTCAGTCAGGCCGTGATCTGCAGCAGTACCAGAGTCAAGCGAAGCAGCTCTTCCGCAAGCTGAATGAGCAGTCTCCCACGAGATGTACTCTGGAAGCAGGAGCCATGGCTTTCCAGTAAGTATTTGTAGGGGTGACGGAGGAACAGGCTTCTGCCCCCGTGGAAATAAGCGAAGGCACTTCTGGGCCAGGGTGAGGATCTGTTAGAAATCAGACTGCCTGAGAGAGGGTGAGTTGGTCAGCTCTCTGCCCTGCTGGCTGAAGTGTAATAGCCATTTGAAGGGGAGAACGTGTGAGTTGTTACTTCTTGGCGGTGCTGTCTGGCACTTGTTTTTCAGTCAAGTTCATAGTTCTGCCTTTGCTGAAGACCACGTAGGTTCTATTCCCTTTGAGATTTTTTCTGTTTGTTTGCACCCTCTAAGAGTTTTTTTCTGTTTGTTTTCACCCTCTAAGATACCTTCAGCGCGACTTCTGTGCCTTCTCTGTCTTGCCTCTTTTAAAAAGAGATGGCCTTGGTAAAAACAGTCTGGCAGTATCACTGTAAGCTCCTCTTGCACAAGATTTTCCTCTCTGTATATCCCATGGGAATGTCCCTTTTCATGCATTAACTTCATGTGTAGAAGCACGTGGAGCATTATTGATTTTTTTTTTTTTTTTATTTCCTTACTTCATGACAGTATTTTTTTTTCTCACCCTGTAGATTCAGTTGTATTGTTGCCACATATGTTGGGTGTGTTTAGTTCATGTCCTAAACCATTTGGAAACTCTCAACTTAAAAGCAGTTTTGTCTTTCTCCAATAGCTCACTAACAAGGGAACTTGCATATAAAATAATGAACACTTACAGGGACTGCAGGTCAGACATCCTTATTCCCTAATCAATAGCAAAGGAGCTGGAAAGGCAAGTAAATGGAGGAAGAACTGATAGTGAAAGGCAAGAGAGCAAGCTTATGTTTGAGACAAGCAAATGCATCTTTACATGACATGTAAGTACATATCAGAGTAATGACTGAGAATTTAATCAATCCCAACATCTTGTCAAGAATCAGGATAATACTATTATACTATATTATATTATGTTAGAATTCTCTGAGATCAGGTGCCACATGAGTTGTGCAGTTTGGCCAGTGATGCACAAAGTTTTCCCATGTTTGGCACCACTTTTGCTGTGCCACCAGCAGCAGGATCCCTCTCGACTCCTCAGCCCTGGTGAGTGGGTCTGTGTTTACAGCTGGGTGAGTGGGAGACAGCCTTTGAATGCAGGGAAGGTTGGCTTTAGGTCTCTGCTTCTATAACAAGGGTCCTTTAGCAAATCTTCTGCCCTGTCCTTTTCTTCAGAGAAAGCAGTGTGAAAAGGCAGGAACAGCAGTTTTTTTGGAAGGGCAATCTCTGGCAAAAACCATGAGGTTTTGAGGGCAGCTTTTCTTGTGGTTGACTTACTTATGATAACTGACGAGATTTTTTTTTTTTTAATCTTTTTTTTTCCTTGGCTTCTGGTTGCCTTTGATAGGGAGTTATAGTGGTCAGAGGATGGCCCTGATTAAAATAGTCTGGCCATCCATATCTCCTGTCGCGTTTGGGGTGCAGAGTTAACTGCAAAGTCCTGTTCTGCATCGTAGAACAACTTCTTTGTAGAAGTTAGAACTTCCTAGAGTTTAAAAACTCTCATTTTAAATGTTTCTATGGCACTGCAGGGGTGTAGCTCTGACTGGCAGTGAAGTCTTGGAAAAGAGTCTGTGTAGATCCTAGTAAATCCCTCCTTGCGTTGCTTCCATGACGCAAGCGGAGCGATGTCTGGGAAGGCTGTGCTACTTGCAGTGCCGAGGAAATCAAAGCTGCTTAACCGTGGCTGTAATGTCAGCGGTTCTGACAAGGTGGAAGGACTTGGGCAAGCTCATGTTTTGTCTCAAAGAAACAGGCAGGTTACCTGGCTGGCAGATAAGCAGGGAAAGGAGGGTTTCTCTGTGTTGCCTTAGTCCCTAGACAGGTTCCACAGGCGACTGACAGCAGCTGCTGCAAAGCATTCAAGTGCTGCCTCTCTTAAGATGAGGCATTGAGACCTATGTGAAAAGAAGAATGCTTTCAGATCAAAAAATCTGCTGTGATAACAGTACAAGAAGAGTAGGAAATGGGGGAGTTGGAGATTTAGTCTACAGTAATGCTGACCGATGACCATACTGTTCGTTAACGTAGCACATCTTTTTTTCTGCCAAATCAGAGCTCTGACTGCTGAGGGCAGCACAAACCAGGATAGAGCATTTTGTGGTGTGAAGGTGCAAGTGTGGCTAAGGGTATTGCTGAACTTGCTGAGGTGGTGGTGAACATTTTTAGCTTGATGAATTCAGAGAAGAGTCTAGTCTTGCTGAAATGTGAAACTTAGACTACAACTGCTGAAGCAATTTCTGTCAAATGTGATGTCTAGACCATCAAAAAAAATGCCCAAAAGCTGTGTCACCCTTTCAGCTACAGCACTCAGCGTGCACGGCTGTGCAGGTACAGAAACAGCCAGGGAGTCTGCTGTGCTGTCAGCCAGTAGTTGACCTTTGGCTGATGAATGGCTGAACTGGCTCTTACCTGTCGTGTTGAAAACAACCCTTGGCCTTTGCTACTCTTACCAGGATAAAGCTTTTTCTTTCTCAAAATGATCCAAGGTAATTATAAGAAACGTTCTGGCTATGCAGCATGCAGAGGACAGGAGTTAGCAGTGGCAAATGGCGTCGTCTGCCCGTTGTGTGTGTACACTGGCAAGCAGTGGGCACAATCAGGTGCTGTCCTGTAGCTCAGAGGCACAGACAAAGTGTAAAACAGAGAAGCCCAGCTGCTGTGCAGGAACTCTGCTCTGAGGTTGACAAAACTGTCTGAATCAGGGACAGGATTGAGGTGTGCTTGCTCTCTGTGGTACTGACAGTTCCATTTTAAATCCAACACATCTAATACCACATCAGGGGAAAAGCAAGTGGGAAATACAGCTGAAGAGCTCCAGGCAGGACCAGCTGGCCCAAGCAGAGATAACAGAGAGAGATAACATTCCTCCAATGGCTCTCATCTTAAGCATGCTGCTCTGGCTCTCAGGGAATGCTGTCAGAATTCCCATCTGACACAAGTCTTGCTTATTTCAAAAGACTTTCAAATTATAGCTGTTCATGACAGCGACTAAATCAAGCTCCAAGTGAGGATTTGTAGCAACTCTGAGTTGTCAGGCAGCTCCCCGACGGTGAGGGAAGAACAGAAGCATGATGTGCTGTGGGATTAGTCTTACACACTGATGCAGTCTGGGCTGAGGGATGTAAAAAGGAATAAAAGCAGGGGCCTGTGGGGATGCACTTGTGGAATGGAGTTTCTCACTTCTGTTTGGGTGGATTGAAGGCTGTCAGGATTCACACATATAGAGGCAGGAGAAATGGATACTCCTGAGCCCAGAAACACATTGAAGATGGTTAATTTAAACTACTTGGACCTGTTGGGGTATCTGGAAAAACAATGGGAGGAGGAAGTTGTCTTGTAAGCCTGATGCAGCTATTAACAAAATTTTAAGCTACTTATTTAACTACGGTGCCCTTGTGACTGGGTCAATTCTTTAATGCACTGTTAATCTTTATGCTAACTAGACTGCTACATAATGGCATTATGCAGAAAGTCAAAAGATGGTAACATGAAAGTAATGTTTAAATTCCACCCTGAATATTATAGATAAACATTGAAAAGTCTATGCAGGGCTATCTACTGTCTCCACTCCCTTGGTTTTTGTGGAAATATCATTGCCTTTAGTTTTCTGTTGGCTAACTGAGGAGGAAAATGTAGTTGGGAATGTGCAGCAGCAGACAGGTATAGTGAAGCCTAAATAATATCAAGATTGGTTCTATTTTATCCCTTATTCCAGAAGGCTTTTTAGCTGGATTGTAATGAAAGGCCCCTGCTCTCAGTGCTGATGGAGGCACTGGAGCTCACACTGAAACAAGGTCAGCACTAAACCTCTGCGAACAAATACAAATTAGATGGGAATGGGGTGGTGGGAGGAGGAGAAGAGGACCTCTCTGCCCATTCAGCTGCAGGACAAGCCAAACAGCATTACACAGCAAGAGCAGCTCCTATTCCAGTGTGTATTTTGGAGCTCCTAACTTTGCAGCCAAAAAGCTGGTAGCACAGTCATCCTTACCTATGGCAAACCTGTAGGAGAAGTCACCAGAACCCATTTATTTTTCTCCAGCTGCCTTTGAAGTCGTGCATGTGGC